CCTCCTCCACCAACACCAGTGTGACGTCCTGCTCCACCACCCACACCCAGTGTGACGTCCCGCTCCTCCACCCACTCCCAGTGTGACGTCCTGCTCCACTACCCACACCCAGTGTGACGTCCTCCTTCACCAACACCCAGTGTGACGTCCTCCACCACCCACACCCAGTGTGGCGTCCTCCACCACCCACACCCAGTGTGACATCCTCCACCACACACCCAGTGTGACGTCCTCCACCACCCACACCCAGTGTGACGTCCTGCTCCATCACCCACACCCCATGTGACGTCCTCCTCCACCACCCACACCCAGTGTGACGTCCTGCTCACCACTCACACCCAGTGTGACGTCCTCCTCCACCACTCACACCCAGTGTGACGTCCTCCACCACCCACACCCAGTGTGACGTCCTCCTCACCACCCACACCCAGTGTGACGTCCTCCTCCACCACCCACACCCAGTGTGACGTCCTCCTCCACCCACACCCAGTGTGACGTCCTCCTCCACCACACCACACACCAGTGTGACGTCCTCCACCACCACCCACACCCAGTGTGACGTCCTCCACACACCACGTCACCACCCACACCCCATGTGACGTCCTCCTCCACCACCCACACCCAGTGTGACGTCCTCCACCACCCACACCCAGTGTGACGTCCTCCTTCCACCACCCACACCCCAAGTGACGTCCTCCACCACCCACACCCAGTGTGACGTCCTCCACCACCCACACCCCAAGTGACGTCCCGCTCCACCACCACACACCTAACGTCACCTGCGGCTGGGTGCACGTATTTCTGCCTCAAGGTTTTCCTCGTGCTCCTTCAACTATAACTCCAGTGTTTGAGCTGTACAGTGGGGCACATTTACCTCATAAAGTGTACAACAAATAAGGTTACATACGCTTCAAGACCCAACAGCAGTAAGTGTGGGGATCCTGCTAATTTAGAGGAGTTTCCCCGGGCCTGTTGTTTGTCTGTTGTCGCCTGCATGTTGTGTCTTGCTAAACACTTGTGTAACAAGACGCAAACCTCTCCCATTCAGAGATCAGGTTGTGTCTAGACCACCAGCTGACTTCCTCAAATAGTGTACTAACGTCTTTAGTCTATATGGGAAACCATGCGTCATGTGATGGTTAAAACCGACCACAACACGGAAGATGTCTTAATGTGTCAATGTCTTCACTGAGTGTGTCGCCTCCTGGGTATGATATATTATAAAACTTGCACTTACCTTCCAGAGGAGGCTCTTAAGTCCTCCAACTCGTATTTCTGATGTAAACACGGGGTAATAAATGGCAGTACGTACACAGTTTTGCCGGTAAGCTTATCGCTGTAGCTGTACTATAAACAAACATGTCGTGTGTTTACTTAATCTATCGTAAGTATAAAAATAAGTGTTCGGTGTCTCAAAACTCATTAAGTTATTTCTTCTTAACGGGGACACAAGAACTCGTCTGCTATAGTGACAGTATAGAGTCTCAGAGTAAACACGCGGACGTTATTGCCAACCAAGTTTGTGTCGAAGCTGAAGTTAGTCAATCAGATATGTTTATACATCTCACTTAAGGGGAAAATTATCTTAATATTTACGAAACTTAAGGAATTCGTGTTGAAGTGAGTCTTTTTTCTAGATGGATTTGGATGTAAAAAACTGAACTGACCTTCTTGTATTATCTGTCACAAGTGAGATAAATAACCTGGCAGGTTGTGAAGGATTCTAATGATCTTTTTATACTGACTCTCCTCCTCGGTGACACTACACTAAGTATAAAGAATAACTTTGTAGTTTGTGAAGGATTGTAATGGAGTTTATATTCTGTTGGTACTTTGAGTCTGTCAGTTGTAAGAGATACTACCCATCTCTCAGCAGTGAGGAAGAAGAGATATTGCCCGCCTCTCAGCAGTGAGGAAGAAGAGATATTGCCCGCCTCTCAGCAGTGAGGAAGAAGAGATATTGCCCGCCTCTCAGCAGTGAGGAAGAAGAGATATTGCCCGCCTCTCAGCAGTGAGGAAGAAGAGATATTGCCCGTCTCTCAGCAGTGAGGAAGAAGAGATATTGCCCGCCTCTCAGCAGTGAGGAAGAAGAGATATTGCCCGTTTCTTAGCGGCAGGAGACGTGAAACAATAATGTCCTTGACATTAGAGAAACGCGAGACATAACGGGCTGATGCGTTCAGGGGTGACATAACTCACACTTGAGGGTGACGTAGTGAAGGTGATGAGGAGGAACTGTTGGCCTGATCGTGTGTGTGTCTGTGTGTGTGTGTCTGTGTGTGTGTGTGTGTGTGTGTGTGTGTGTGTGTCTGTGTGTGTGTGTGTGTGTAAATAATAATAATAATAATAATTAACGGTTTATTGAAAGAGCTTGGCAGCCAGAAGGCTGAAAATATACAGTTACATATTTGGGGAATGGGTTTCGAATTACAAATAATATACAAGTAACATAAGTGACACAAATAAGACATATAATAACTAGATGGGGAAAAGCTCAAACTACAGTTCATTTCAACATAGTGACAGTGTGTGTGTGTGTGTGTGTGTGTGTGTGTGTGTGTGTGTGTGTGTGTGTGTGTGTGTGTGTGTGTGTGTGTGTGTGTGTGTGTGTGTGTGTGTGTGTGTGTGTAATGAGTTCCAGAAAGACTACACCTACAGACGAACAATCTTTAGAACAAGTTTATGGTTGCAATCAATTCAAGTTCAAGATTCAACTAAAAGTTCAATTTAATGGACAAAATGTTCATACTCACGGTTCAAGTTCAAGGTTCAAGGTCAACGGTCAAGCTCATTTTCAAGACATCATGAACTACAGCTAAGAGAGCCGAAGCTAGCTTAACTAGCTGCTGGGAGTCAAAACTAATTATGGGTAACAACACAGACTTTGAACTCATCAACACTGTTTTCTATGGTGTTTTTGTGTCTCTACAATTACGACCAGGTGTTGTGGGTGTGTTTGAGTGGTGGTGGTGTGGGCGGTGGGGTGTGGGAAGGGTGGTGGTGTGGGCGGTGGGGTGTGGGAGGGGTGGTGGTGTGTGTGGGGTGGGGTGTGGGTGGGTGGTGGTGTGGGCGGTGGGGGGTGGGGGGTGTGGTGTGGGCGGTGGGGTGTGGGAAGGGTGGTGGTGTGGGCGGTGGGGTGGGTAGGGGTGGTGTGGGCGGTGGGGTGTGGGAAGGGTGGTGGTATATGGTGTAGGTAGTAATAGTGTAACTAGTGGCAATGTTTATGTATGTCTGGGTGGTATTGGTAATGTGGGTGGTGAAGGTGATTGCGTGCATATGGATGTGGTGGTGTTGGTGGTGGGTGGCAGCAGTGACAGAGAAGTGATCTGGTGGTCGGTAGCTGTGGTGTGGGTGGCAGACATCATGGGTGGCAGAGGGAGTGAGGCAATGTTAAATTGTTTGCGATGTTTAGTCTTGTTAAGTGGTAAGAGAGTTAAGTCACCCCTCCATCTACCTTCACGTTTTCATTCCTCTCTCTCTCTCTCTCTCTCTCTCTCTCTCTCTCATTTACAAACACAAAACACACAAAATAATCATCTTAACTTCACAGCATTATAAAACATGTACCATACTTAACACCAACTCAACTAATTCAAAGTATCAACACAAACACAGACACAAGACAGTCACACAGACAGACAAACAGACATTGAGACAATCTCACAGATAAGCAGGCATTCACGCAGATGCAAACTCACAGACAGACTAAAAAACAGACGGCCTCACAGACACACAGAACATAAGAAAATAAGGAGTCTGCAATAGGCCGGTTGGTCTGTGCACAGGCAGCCTCACAGACACACAAGCAACCTCACAGATATACAGACAACCACACAAACATACATACACACAGATTCACTAAAAGACAGATAAATAGGGCCGACGGACGGAAGTGCTGCTACTGTACGGTACATCAAGCCTGCAGCCATAATAACGGGAGGGAAGGAAGGTGTTGTGCGGGTTGCCGCCTTACTGTTGATACCAGTAACGGTAGTGTGTGTGTGTGTGTGTACGAGCCTTCATAATGTACACATGATAAACTAAACCTTCAATACACAAAGGTACAGCCCACTCGACTGCTTTACATTCCCCAACTGTAAAGCCAGGTACCCAGTCTGTATTCTAGTTCGACTGCTGTATCTAGGTGGTTGTTACAGTAAGAAGCGGTTACAGTTACAGTCAGACAGTAGTTGTGTCAGGAAGTAGTTCACACATGACTGTACTTTTCTGATGCAGATGAATTACTGTACTGTTGAACTTGTTATTCTGCCGCCCATAAGACATAATTAGAGAAAATGGTTGGGGCGAGTCTCTGAACTACTGAAAGGAGTCATTGAACTGCTGGAATGAGGCTCTGAACTGCTGGAACGAATTTCATCCCTGTTCAGCAGTATAAAACCTCGAATAAAGTTTTTGGTTGCTGTGTACACCTGGACAACGAACCGGGTGGAAGGAAACGATACCTCAGGATCTGCTTAGTCATCAGCCTGTCACCGAGCACAAGTGCACACACACGCACACACTACAGGTAGCTGCTTACACAGTTTCTCTTTCGGTTTTTAATTTCGATATTTTCAGCTAACTACGTAACTACCTAAAACCTGTTGAACTATTTATTTATATAAGACAATAAGTTACATATTTAGGATTATATACCTGAGCTATATTACTTGGTGAATAGATGTGCTGAAATATATTAAAAAAAGACCAAGTGACATCACATCCCTGTGCATCCCAGTAAAACGTTCACCTGATGCGTTCGATTTCACGACAACTGACTTTGGCTTTATCGATCAGAGGATTTATCTAATTCTTTTTGTTTTGCATATTTCCAGAGAGCATATATAACATATCTATAATAAATCAAGTACTATCCTCACACCAGGGTCAATGACTGTGTTCAAGAATTCATCAATATGAGCGAGTTACTAAGCCGAAGTCAGAATATTGAGGAGGGAATGAGAAGAAGTACAGGGCGTCAACACAGAGCAGTGAGCACACAGGTGAAGACTCCACAACCACGCGGGGAATCAAACTAGCTGTACACACGCTCTCGACATCTCTATTTACTGTACCTTAACTACTACAAACTGTGAAAACATATAAGTAATATCTCCAGTTCATTAAGAAACCTTCATAATTAACGTACAACCATAAAAATCTGAAAACACGTTTAAAACAACAGGAAGAGGATTAAAATAAAATAAATTATTTACCGCACAACTTCCGTCGCAAATGTGAAAAAAAAATAACGCCAAGAAGAAAAACGGAAACGACTAAAAAAACCCAGTGATTTACCTGCATTATGGGCCGGATATAGTGACAGTTTCCAGCAAGTGAGATAATTCATGGTAAGAGAACTCGCTACCTGGTTGACTGATTGGACAGGTGAAAATTATTTATAGTAACATGTTTCAGACAGGTGTTTAATTGTGCTCCTGTCAGGTGTGTGTGTGTGTGTAGACGTGTCAGATAAACCTGTACGTTTTAGTTTGTTCTGGTTTTAATTTTATACTTAGGTGTCCCGTCATACTATAAGCAGCGGTTAGAGAAAGACAGACTAAATTAACTGTTTTTTTTTGTATTCTATTTCATCCACTATATAATTATTTGTATGCACCTGTCCCACACACCTGTTACACACACACCTGGTTAAGGAAGGGATTCACAGATATTCTAACATTGGTTCTGTTAATCGTTTTTAATTGGTGATTAGAGAGTGGACCTTGTTACGGTAGGGTCTCTGCGCTTGTAGCCGCCATCTTTGAGTCGTGGTTGTTAATGTATTTATGAGAATTTAATATTTGTGTCGTGACTTCTGTCATTTAGATCCTTCTTCGCCTTTCCTTACCGAACTTAAACTAACTCAACACCCTAAAATAATCTAAATTAACATAAATTAACATAAACTAATAAAAAATAAAATAAACTTATCTAAAGTAACATAAACTTATCTTAATTAAAAATAAACTAATCTAAACGAAACTTAGCTTGTCTAACTTAACCTAAATTAATCCAACTTAACGTATGGTAACCTGAGTAACCTAAACTAAAATAACCTAACCTTAACTTACTTATACATACAAACCTTCTAATATTGCCTACACATTTTTTACGTTACTTATCAGATTTAATTAAATACATAATATACGAATCTTCACCGTAATACATAAGTCTTGTTCTTGGTCCTGCTTACGAACACTCACGTTCCGTATAAGACGACCTGACCTGACAGTGTATTGACGTAATGCATGCACTTACCTGATGCATTGCTATACAGAGGTGAACACTGTATTCTGTATGCTAAACTTGAGTCTCACAGAATACAGTATATTGCAGTTGGGAGTCAGAAAATAACTTCACTTTTAAGCCACACTCGTTTTACAAGTCACGAATTACAGTGCATTACAGCAGACAATCACAGTTATGAGGCAGGTCTACTTATAATTCTGTTACAAGTAGATATATCTTGTTTCACTAATCACTAACTCCTGCAATCCACAACAAACGGCGGAAAAAATGGCACGAATAAAATGTCCAGAGTTATATTTTCATCTTGTAAGTAGATATACCGCTCTACCAACCACTTAGATCCACTTAGAACGACTTATAAGACTTAATCTGCTCTTGTTTCCATTCCAGACCCGACCTCCGTCAGAATGGGTCGACGGGTGGTGGTCCTAGCGTGTGTCCGCACCGTCTTAACATTCACCCTTGGCTTTGGCTTGGGTGTCGTCATCCACCTGTTTGTCAACTTATCCACCAACCTCTCTCACTCCAATGTCCCCAGAAACTACAAGGGCAACAGGAGACTAGAGGAACAGGTGAATTAGTCCATCAACTAAGTGGAATGTGTCTTTTTGAGGATTGCTTTCATTGTTTGCAGTATACACTAGTAGTAGTGAACAAACTGAGTTAACATTGGCATATCTTTGTTATGACGTCACTTCCGGCTGCTTTATGTTGATAACGAGGCAGACACTGCCACAAGCACAGAAAACACCGAATGTATGTGTTAATGTATGAGTGAATTACCATGTCCAAATGCATACTCAGGTATTATTATTATTATTATTATTATTATTATTATTAGTAGTAGTAGTAGTAGTAGTAGTAGTAGTAGTAGTAGCAGCAGCAGCAGCAGTAGTAGTAGTTGTTGCTAGTATTACCGCCATTACAACGTTGTACGACTGACGTGTACACCACCTCACAGGCACCATACGAGGCGAGGGTTGATCTGCTGATAGGGGAGAGGACCTACAGCCCCTCTCAGCCTCCCGCAAACGAAGGTGAGGCGCCTGCTGGGTTATATGCAGCAAGGCTCACTGTAAAGATGGAAGACGATTTAACTGAATATCTATCTATCTGTCTCTCTATCTGTCTATCTATCTATCATGTACAACGTTTTGGATGATAATACTTATTCTGTAGCTCTGCGAGTGAAGGGAAACGGGAGGGAGAGTGAGAATAAAAGGGGAGTACAAGTAAGAGTAATGTGGTAGTAATGTAGTGGTAATGTGGTAATAATGTAGTGGTAATGTGGTAATAATGTAGTGGTAATGTGGTGTTAATGTGGTGGTAATGTGGTGTTAATGTGGTGGTCTCCTGCAGGTTGGTTGTCTGCAGGAGGCGGTGGTGGTAGTGGTGGTGGCGGCGTGTTGTGTTACGTCCTGACAGGCCCCACTAACCACCGCTCTGCCCTTCACGTCAAGAACACCTGGGGCCAACGATGTGATAAGGTGGTGTTCTACAGGTAGGTGTTTTGTTGATGTTTTTGTGTAAGGCACGTCAGTGGAGGAGAGGGACAGTAAAAACTATAAATAAAACAAAGATACGATAGAAATTAACAAGATGAAACGAACGAACGATAGAATTAGAGCGAAGGTGATGACTAAACACACCGTGTTTCCTCCTCCTTCAGCACCAAACAAGATGAAGCCCTTCAGCCTGAGGTGTTGGACGTCCCTGAGGGCTATGGGTACCTGTGGGCCAAGACGAAGGCGGCCCTCACCCACCTGTACCACCACCACCCACACTACCAATGGTATATGAAGGCCGACGATGACACCTTCGTCATCGTTGAGAATCTGCGTTACTTCTTAAGGGACCTCGACCCTGACCTGCCATTGTACTACGGCGCAAAGTTCAAGATGCATGTCAAACAGGTGGGTGAGGCAGATGGTGTACTGAGGGCGCCTTGAGCTGTGTTTCTCGTTAGGAATGACTTTTGACCTTCCTGTGTCTCCTCCGGTAATGACCCTTGGCCTGCATTTCTCAGTAGGGATGACCTTTAGAACATAAGAACATAAGAAAGTGGGATACTGCAAGAGGCCGACTGGCCCATACAGGGCAGATCCCTTTCACACCCATCCCAGCACTTCCATGTGCCTATCCAACTTCGTCTTGAAGCTCCCTAGCGTCCCCGATCCTACTATAGCATTCGGTAGCCTATTCCACATATCCACAACTCTATTACCAAACCAGTGCTTGCCTATATCCTTTCTGAATCGGAATTTATCTAATTTAAAGTCATTTGTTCTAGTTATTTCGTTATTACTGAGCTTCAGAACATCTTCCATTTTACCCTTGTTAATCCCACTTACCCACTTGAACACCTCTATCATATCTCCCCTAACTCTACGCCTCTCTAATGAATGCAAGCCTAAGCTTTTCAGTCTTTCTTCATATGGAAGATTTCTAATATTATGGATCATTTTTGTCATTCTTCTTTGTACTCTCTCCAAAGAATCTATGTCCATTCTATAATAAGGACACCAGAATTGAACCGCATAATCCATGTGTGGCCTCACTAATGCTAGGTAAAGTTTCAAGATAACGTCAGCAGTTCTGTTACTCACACTCCTAGATATGAACCCAAGAATCCTATTTGCCTTGTTGCGAACGCTAATACATTGTTTTCTAGGTTTCAATTCGTTGCTAACAAATACACCTAGATCTTTTTCACAATCTGAGTTTTCTATTTCCGTGTTACCTAGTTTATACTTAACGTTTGTATTCGTCTTCCCTATCTGTAGTACCTTGCATTTATCATTATTAAAATTCATTTGCCAGTCTACTGACCACTCATGTAAGGTATCTAGATCTCTTTGAAGGTGTTCAAAGTCACTGTCTGAATTTATCACTCTCCCCATTTTGGTATCATCTGCAAATTTACTAATCCTACTAGTTATACCTAAATCAAGATCATTAATGAATATAACAAACAGCAGAGGGCCTAATACAGATCCCTGGGGAACTCCGCTATTGACCGCACCCGAGTCTGACTTAAATCCATTTATGCTGACTCTTTGTTTCCTACCAGTTAACCATGACCTAATCCATTTTAATAATGATCCACCTATTCCATGTGCTTCTACCTTCCTTATCAATCTCTCATGAGGGACTCTATCGAATGCTTTACTGAAATCTAAATAAATTATATCATATGACTTATCATTATCTACCGCTTCATATACTTCTGAGAAAAAGCTTAGCAAATTTGTGAGACAAGAACGTCCCTGGGTGAACCCGTGCTGAGAAGAACGAATTAAGTTGAATGTTTCAAGGTGGCTTCTGATTTTCGTAACAATAATTGACTCTAGCAACTTGCCTATGATTGACGTGAGACTAATGGGACGGTGATTTGATGCAATTGATTTATCACCTTTTTTTGAAAATCGGAACTACATTTGCAAGTTTCCAAGCTTCTGGCACTAGGCCCGATTCTAATGACTTATTAAATAAAACTGCTAATGGAGTACTCAACTCATCTCTACATTCTTTTAATGTTCTAGCATATACCTCGTCTGGACCAGGCGATTTATGAGGCTTCAGTTTGTTAATTTCTTTAAGCACATCGTTACTAGTAATATTGATATTCATCAACATATTTTCTATACTGTCGTTATATACCTTATGAACTTCTGGTAACTGTGCTAGGTTTTCATTTGTGAATACGGAGCAAAAATGACTATTTAACGTACTACACATTTCTAACTCATCATCAGTCATTTCTCCTGTCGTAGTTTTAAGGGGACCTATTGTATCTCTAACCTTTGATTTATACAGTTGATAAAAAGCTTTGGGGTTATTTTTTGATTCGTTTGCTACCTTGATTTCATAATTTCTCTTTGCTTTCCTAATTTCTGTTTTTACCTGTCTTGTTAGGTTCTGATAGTAACCAAGTAAGTGATTTTCGCCTTTCTTAACTTTTCTATATACTCCTTTCTTTTTCCCTAGAAGATCTAAGAGTCTATTATTCATCCATTTTGGTTGGTTCCGTATCGATCTGAATTTTCTTTTAGGGATGTGTTTATTTTGAGCATTATGGATTGTCGCAATAAATTGTTCATAAGTAGCTGCTAAATTAAATTCGGGGTTCTCCCGTTCTAAGTTGACAGTTTCCGGAGGTGTGGGGGGGATTAATCTTTTGACCATAGGGTCATCCCTTAGGTCTCTCCTAAAGCTACCGTAATTAGCCTTCCTAAAATCCGGGATCAAGGCCGAATTTTCCTTCTTCCTGCCATTCCATATTATGTTAAAATGTATGGATTTATGATCACTGTTTCCTAGTTCGTCTCCAATCCCAACATCTTTTACTAGATTTTCATTATTACTGAGAACTAAATCGAGGATATTATTTCTTCTAGTGGGCGAGTTTATGAATTGATATAAAAAACTATCTTGTACTACTTCTAGAAAATCTTCAGATTCATTATCGCTAAGTAGATTTTTCCAATCTAAGCCTGAAAAGTTGAAATCGCCTAGAATACATACATTGTTTCTATCAGATGCCTTCTTTATTTCCTCCCATAGCAATTTACCATCGTTCCTACTCAAATTAGGTGGTCTATATATAACACCAATGACTACGGACTCATTGCCCTCACCAATCTCTACCCAAATACTTTCATTGTCGCTATTTGTTTTAATGTTTGATTTATTGCAGCTTTTTAATGACACCCTGATATACACTGCTACACCGCCCCCTCTCCTTCCTACTCTGTCAAATTTAAATAGGTTATATCCTGGAATATGAAATTCTGCTAAAAAATGTTTGCTTTGACCTTCCTGTGTCACCTACAGTATTGACCCTTGACCTGTGTCTGCTTCTAACAACAAGCAAGTGTCTCATACAAGCTATGACCTACCACACCCTTCCTCGTTTACCTTAATATCCTGTAGTGTTGACATTTGACCTCTCTGTATCTCTACTGGTAATGACTTTCACCCTTATGTCCCTCAGGGATACATGTCCGGGGGCGGGGGCTACGTGTTGAGCAGGGAGGCGGTGAAGAAGTTCGTGACGGAGGCGCTGCAACTTACTGACCAGGCTAAGTGTCCCACTAACACCAGCAGGGGCTCTGAGGACGTCCAGCTAGGTCAGTGTCTTCTTTCTGGTCTGTTGTCTGGGTCTAAAGGGTGTGGGCGTGTCTAGGGGGGGAGTTGGTTTAAGGTTAACCAATCACAGGGGTTTCTAGGATAGTGTGGGGCGTGTCATTAGGGGGAAATGGACTTAAGGCCATCCAACCCCCAAGAGGTTTCAGGAGTAAGGGTGTGGCACGGGTTTGACTAGCAAAGTTGTCTAACTATTCGCTTTACCCCCAGGGTTGTGTCTGGAGAGTGTGGGCGTGGCGGCGGGGGATAGTCTGGACAGGGCAGGCAAGTCGAGGTTCTTCTCCAACAGTCCTCTCTCTCTCTTCTACCACCAGCCGCTCGTCAACAAGCTACACTGGTACTGGCGATACCTCTGGCACAAACACGGTGTGGTGAGTATTGTAAGAGTATAAGAACATAAGAATGGAGGAAACTGCAGCGGGCCTATTGTCCCATACTAGGCAGTCCCGTTTACACCCAACCCCTATTGCTCATATAAGCATCCAACCTATGTTTGAAGCTATTCAGCGAATTCGAGTTAATGATGATATTTGGTAACTTGTTCCATTCATCCACAACTCTGTTTCCAAACCAATGTTTACCTATTTCACGCCTAAATCTAAATTTGTCTAATTTAAAACCATTGTTACGAGTTCGCTCCTGGTTGGATAGTTTGAGTACCTTTGTAATGTCCCCTTTGTTTAGCCCTGCCTTCCACTTATACACCTCTATCAGGTCGCCCCTCGCTCTACGTCTCTCGAGGGAGTGCAAATTAAGAAGCTTTAACCTGTCTCTATACTCAAGGTTCCTAATGCCTGGGATTAGTCTTGTCATTCTCCTCTGAATTCTTTCCAAGGATTCTATATCCATCCTGTGATACGGTGACCAGAACTGAACTGCGTAATCCAGGTGAGGTCTCACAAGAGCAAGATACAGTTTTAGGATGACCTCGCTAGTCTTGTAACTAACACTCCTCTGTGTGAACCCAAGTACTTTATTAGCCTTGTTACGAGCAAAAACACATTGTTTACTTGGCTTAAGGTTCCTACTTATCATTACTCCTAAATCTCTCTCGCAGTCGGATTTTTATGTTTTTTTTTTTTTTTTTTTCTGGCTAAAAATATTTCAATCAATCAATTTTGCCGTGGATAGCCGTTAGTTTATTATGCACCCCCATACTTATCAGGTGAGCGGTAGCGCAATAATTATTACAGAGTAGAGGCCACAAAGGGTGTTTATCAGACTCCAGTGGTCATGATATTATGTCATTGAGTGTTACAGAGTATTTCCAGTACATTGTTTGTTTAGTTCGGTACATAGAATTTTGATTAGGTACTAGATGCAAAGTGTGGATACAGCTTTAGTATATCAGCTATCTTGCCATCAGAGATAAAGTGCTGTGCCATGACATACTGTACACAGTGTGCTTGGATTTAGTTTTGTTCACATCTGCTTGAGGGACATACTGCCTGAGGTACTTAAATCCTAACCTTAATCTAACGGTTACAACATCTTGTAGTCAAGTGATCTTGTTACTTGATACATCTCATCATGGTAAACAGTGGATTGACTAGTGTCTGTTTGCATTTGTCTACTTGCTTCAAATTCACCAACAAGTTATATCTTGATCACACTCATCCTGCTGTTTGCCCACCATAAAGTTAACGAGATTATTTCTCTCTCCAGACTTCGCATCAAGGAGCTCATTCAATTTTTGTTGCGGGTTTAATAATAATAATTATCGGTTTATTAATAAAACATGGCAGCCCGAAGGCTGAAAATATATAATGAACAGAGGTGATAGGTTACACATGGTGGAATCGGGGAGTGGGTCACTTGATTGTCAAAAGCTTTCATTACAGAAACATAAGAAACATAGTCAACATATAAATTAACTTTAGATCTGGTACTGTGGGAACCGGTCAGGTAGACATTCTTGTGATCTGATGCCGGCGCCAACAGAGTCCTTCCCACTGTCTTGATGGCCGTTGTACCTGACTGATAAGCCGCTACCTCACTACAGCTGCAGATGTACCACGTGGTCCGGGTACATAAGAACATAAGAACATAAGAATGGAGGAAACTGCAGCGGGCCTATTGGCCCATACTGGGCAGTCCCGTTTACACCCAACCCCTATTGCTCATAGAAGCATCCAACCTATGTTTGAAGCAATTCAGCGTATTCGAGTTAATGATGATATTTGGTAACGTGTTCCATTCATCCACTACTCTGTTTCCAAACCAGTGTTTACCTATTTCACGCCTAAATCTAAATTTGTCTAATTTAAAACCATTGTTACGAGTTCGCTCCTGGTTGGATAGTTTGAGTACCTTTGTAATGTCCCCTTTGTTTAGCCCTGCCTTCCACTTATGCACCTCTATCAGGTCGCCCCTCACTCTACGTCTAGATGCGATCGGATGCTATCTGCTATAATTGATTCAAGAAATTTCCCCACTACTGACGTCAAACTGATCGGCCGGTAATTTGACGCTGATGCTCTGTCTCCCTTTTTGAATATGGGTACTACATTTGCCTGTTTCCATAACTCCAGCGTCTAATGATTTTGTAAATAAGTTTACGACGGGTCCGCTAATCTGTTCCCTACACTCTTTTAAGACTCGAGGGAAAATTTCATCCGGCCCTGGGGATTTTGTATTCTTTAGTTTATTTATCTTCTGAGGAACATCCTCTTTTCTGATAGTGATATTCTTTGATTTCTCTTCTTCCTTTCCCCTAAATATCAGTTCCATCTCTGGAAATTCCTCGCGAATTTCTTCTGTGAAAACTGATAAGTAGTAGTTGTTCAATGCTTTGCTTATTTCTTCACTGCCATTTAGCACTTCTCCCCTCCCTGACTTTAAAGGCCCAACTTTGTCCTTGACTTTTGTTCTATATACCTGGAAAAATCCCTTGGGATTCGCCTTGGATTCTCTTGCTATTTTGACTTCATAGTTTCTCTTTGCTTTCCTTACATTTTTCTTAACATTCCTAGATAATTCATTATACCTATTTCTGAACTGCTCCTCCCCTCCCTTTAATTTCTTATAAATTCCTTTCTTTATTCCTATGTAATGTTTAAGTTTTCTGGTCATCCACCTTGGCTCATTCTTATTTGACCTAATTTTTCTGTATGGTATATTTTGTTCTTGTGCTTTATGTATACTTGTGAATATATTATAATCATGATCAATTGTTGTGTCATCTATGACCTCACCCCTTCCTACTGGGGACTGACGTGACTGTTCCCAGGTGACCTCACCTAGGTACCTTCTTAATCCTTGATAATCCGCCAACCGAAAGTTTGGGACTGACCATATTGTCATTGTTTTTTGTTTCCCAATTTAGGGTGAACCTGATTTCTCTGTGATCACTGTTACCTAGTTCTTCCCTTACTGTGATATCTCTGATAATATTTTCTTTATTTGTTAATACTAGGTCTAATATATTGTCACCTCTAGTAGGTTCTGTAATTAGTTGTTTAAAAAAATTGTCTTGTACTGCATCTAGGAAGTCTTCAGATTCATAGTCGCCTACAATGTTGTCCCAGTCAATAGTTCTAAAGTTGAAATCCCTCATAATGCACAGGTTGTTATATTTTGCTGCCCTACTCATTTCCTGCCATATGGGCTGAGCTGCTTCTTTGCCCAGACTTAGGGGCCTGTAAATCACTCCCATAATTAGTTTTTCTCTTCCTTCCGTGATTTCTACCCGTACAGACTCGGTTCCCATTTCACCCTTTATTGAATTATTAATACAACATTTTAGTGTATCCTTGACGAAGAGTGCGACCCCTCCCCCCTTCCTACCTTCCCTGCCCTTGTGAAAAAGGTTGTACCCTTCTATGTGGTACCCTGATAAAAAAAATTTTGCTCGCCAGATTCATCCAAGTATCGGTGATTGCTATGACGTCTACATTCTCGGTACATACAACCGCTCTCAGCAAGTCTATTTTATTTCTAACGCTCCTACTGTTTGTATAGTATACATTTAAACCTATCCTTCCCTGGTCCTGTTCTACCCCTTGTCCTGAGTAACTAATTTTTTACTTGTTTTTTCCCACTTTCCCCGACCTCTCTCTACTGGCGAAACCCCCCCCCCCCTTTGGAGTGACAATTTCACGCTCCAGGGATGCAGACAACGTCTTTACCCCCGCACGAGACAAGTGTACTCCGTCACGACTGTACAGGTAGTCGTTGCCATAGAATCGTTGACAGCTATCAATGAATGCCCAACCATTGTTTGCACAATGCTTTTCCAGTCGGCATTTATAGCAATTGCCCTGGACAGCCATTCACGACCAACCCCTCTTCTAGGCAAGACACCACATACTATCGGGATCCCTCCCCTATCTCTAACCTTCCCCAGCGACTCCCTATACCTCTTGAAGAGTTCCTCACTCCTAACCTTTCTTATGTCGTTTCCTCCCACACTAAGACACACTACTGGATTGGTACCCTCCCCTGACAAAACCCTGTCTATCCTCTCAGCTACTTGCCCTATCCCAGCCCCAGGAAAACGCACGTCCTTACCCTACGAAGGCAGAAGGAAGTTTGGGTGGGAGACATGCCTGCTGATTTTACCTCTGTGTTATGTCCTCCAGGCATTGCTAAGGGTAGTGTGTTGGTTCAGTCCTTCCTGTCACTTATTTCCCTCAATGTGTTAGCCAAAAGCATTCGGCTCTCTTCCTTACGATGTCAGCAGTTTCCCTCCCTGTCTGTAGGGTCCTGATTGTTGTAGCCGTCATCTCATCAGCTTCCACGACGTCAGCCCCCGGATGATGTGGACGCTTGAAGCTCTGCTGTACCGCCTCCACATACACCGAGACCTGCAGCCTCCACACCTCAACACCTCCACCTCCCCAGCACCTCCACCCGACTCCTCCACTCCTCCTCCACGTGCGCCTCCAGCTATATTTTCCCTTCGTACATGAAGATGAATTTATGCATTTACCTTATTAATTCCAATTAAAGTACAAGAATTATATTCATAATTATTACACTGGTCTACAAAAAAATATTTTTTTTTCTGGCATGAAACCTTTTAACTGTTTTTTACTAACTTTAAGGTGCTGAATCCAAATCTGATCTCAGATTTGCTCCATCACGTAACATGCCAGAATTTACTGAGCTACCAGAGATTGAGGATATAGACCGGAATTCACCTGTTTCTACTGATGAAGATGAAGAGACTGATCTTTTCAAGCCATCTGGTGAAGATTGTGAAAAGCCAACGTTGTTTACTCAGTCAGAATTGAATGATCTGGTCAGAGATCTAAATTTGCCAAAACAGTCTGCTGAATTGTTAGCTTCCAGGCTTCAAGAGAAACGACTCTTAAAACCTGGCACGAGTGTCTCCTTTTATTGCAACAGAGAAGAGCAACTGCGGAAGTACTTTCATTCATATGACCAGCTTGTTTTTTGTAATGATGTAGAAGGACTTCTTCTCTCCATGGGACTACCAGCATATGATAGTAAGGATTGGAGACTTTTTATTGACAGTTCTAAAAGGAGCTTGAAATGTGTTCTTCTTCATAACGGAAACAAGTATGGTTCAATTCCAATCGGACATTCTGTACAAATTAAAGAAGAGTATGAAAACATTAAGACTGTTCTAGAGAGGTTGCAATACCATGCTCATGAATGGTTAATTTGTGTGGACTTGAAAATGGTAAACTTTCTATTGGGCCAGCAAGGAGGGTACACAAAATACCCCTGTTTTCTGTGCTACTGGGACAGCAGGGCTACAGCAGACCATTGGGTGAAAAAGAATTGGCCACCAAGACATAGTTTGACGCCTGGTGACAAGAATATCATTAACGATCCTCTGGTTGACAGGAAAAACATTGTCCTTCCTCCTCTGCACATAAAACTTGGTATCATGAAGCAATTCGTCAATGCTCTTGATCATAGTGGAGAGTGTTTCAGATATATATGCTCAACCTTTCCAAGTCTTAGCGACGAGAAAAAAAAGGCAGGGATTTTTGATGGACCTCAAATAAGAACACTACTCAGAGATCCACACTTCCTTGCTTAAATAGTTAGGCACATTAAATTTTAGTTCAGAGAGAAAAAGTATTTTTGGCCAAAAATCCTTTAAGGCATAAGACTTACAATTTTGTCATTTTCGGCCAAAAAATGGATTTTGTTCAAAATTTCAGTATAGGTACTCCTGAATGTGCTGCTTAAGGATCTGTTAACCAAAATTTGATATCTTGATTATAACTTGTTCAAATGGCTTTTAGAAAATGTTCAAATGATTTTTAGAATATTTTAATTACTTTTGCAATGCTAATTACTCGCCACTTATGGGTTTTCGAGGTCATTTCTTGGTGCTCAGGATGTACTTAAATAGTTAGGCACATTAAATTTTTGTTCAGAGAGAAAACGTATTTTTGGCCAAAAATCCTTTAAGGCATAAGGCTTACAATTTTCGCCAAAAAATGGATTTTATCTAAAATTTCAGTATAGGTACTCCTGAATGTGCTGCTTAAGGATCTGTTAACCAAAATTTGATATCTTGATTATAACTTGTTCAAATGGCTTTTAGAAAATGTTCAAATGATTTTTAGAATATTTTAATTACTTTTGCAATGCTAATTACTCGCCACTTATGGGTTTTCGAGGTCATTTCTTGGTGCTTGTGTATTATTCTGCATGTACTTAAATAGTTAGGCACATTAAATTTTAGTTCAGAGAAAACGTATTTTTGGCCAAAAATCCTATAAGGCATAAGACTTACAATTTTTGTCATTTTCGGCCAAAATGGATTTTGTTCAAAATTTCAGTATAGGTACTCCTGAATGTGCTGCTTAAGGATCTGTTAACCAAAATTTGATATCTTGATTATAACTTGTTCAAATGCTTTTAGAAAATGTTTTAATATATCGCGTTACGCCACTTGCGGCTTTGAGTTCATTCTCTGTTTAAGTAGTATTATCTCTGATGTACTTAAATAGCTGCACATGACCTCGAAAAACCATATGGCGAGTAATTAGCATTGCAAAAAGTAATTAAAATATCTCTAAAATCATTTGAACATTTTCTAAAAGCCATTTGAATGCTATAATCAAGATATCAAATTTTGGTTAACAGATCCTTAAGCAGCACATTCAGGAGTACCTATACTGAAATTTTGAACAAAATCCATTTTTGGCCGAAATTGACAAAAATTGTAAGTCTAAAGCCTTAAAGGATTTTTGGCCAAAAATACTTTTTCTCTCTGAACTAAAATTTAATGTGCCTAACTATTTAAGTACATCCAGAATAATACACAAGCACCAAGAAATGACCTCGAAAACCCATAAGTGGCGAGTAATTAGCATTGCAAAAGTAATTAAAATATTCTAAAAATCATTTGAACATTTTCTAAAAGCCATTTGAACAAGTTATAATCAAGATATCAAATTTTGGTTAACAGATCCTTAAGCAGCACATTCAGGAGTACCTATACTGAAATTTTGAACAAAATCCATTTTTTGGCCGAAAATGACAAAAATTGTAAGTCTATAGCCTTAAAGGATTTTTGGCCAAAAATACTTTTTCTCTCTGAACTAAAATTTAATGTGCCTAACTATTTAAGTACATCCAGAATAATACACAAGCACCAAGAAATGACCTCGAAAACCCATAAGTGGCGAGTAATTAGCATTGCAAAAGTAATTAAAATATTCTAAAAATCATTTGAACATTTTCTAAAAGCCATTTGAACAAGTTATAATCAAGATATCAAATTTTGGTTAACAGATCCTTAAGCAGCACATTCAGGAGTACCTATACTGAAATTTTGAACAAAATCCATTTTTTGGCCGAAATGACAAAAATTGTAAGTCTAAAGCCTTAAAGGATTTTTGGCCAAAAATACATTTTCTCTCTGAACTAAAATTTAATGTGCCTAACTATTTAAGTACATCCAGAATAATACACAAGCACCAAGAAATGACCTCGAAAACCCATAAGTGGCGAGTAATTAGCATTGCAAAAGTAATTAAAATATTCTAAAAATCATTTGAACATTTTCTAAAAGCCATTTGAACAAGTTATAATCAAGATATCAAATTTTGGTTAACAGATCCTTAAGCAGCACATTCAGGAGTACCTATACTGAAATTTTGAACAAAATCCATTTTTTGGCCGAAAATGACAAAAATTGTAAGTTTTTGGCGAAAAATTATATTTTGCTGAAAATCACAGTATGGGTACTCCTGAGCTTGCTCTTTATGAATATGTGGTCCACGATTCGATTGCAGAGTAATTAGTGGCCAAAATGACCCTTGAAAAATTTTACTGACATTTTTCAATGCTAATTACTCATCAACTATGGGTTTCCAAGGTGTGATTTAGGGTTTGTGTGTTATTCTGAAAGTACTTAATTAGTTAAACCCCTTAAATTTCAATTCTGAGAAAAAAAATTATTTTGGTAAACAATTTTTTAAGGTGTAAGACAAGGGTCTCAAACTCATGGCCCGCGGGCCAAATGTGGCCCTCGGGATGACGGTAAAATTTATCATCCCGTGAAATTATGAAAGAAATAGATATAATCATGTTTATTTATTAAAATGAATTTTACATACTTAAGATCGGACAAACCCAAATGAGGTAGTCCTGGTGAGCCAGGTAAGGCAATGTGTGAAGCTGTAAACTTCAAACCTTCAAATATGTGATATAGCACTTGTGTTGGCCCTGAAGAGGGTAACTAAAATAAGAATTGGTCCTCGAAAGGTATTGAGTTTGACACCACTGATTTAGACCCACTAAATATATAGATAATGTTATGGTAAGTCTGAGAAAAACACATAGGCATGGCTAGGTTTATTACAAAGTGATGAAAAGGTTACGCTCAATACTGTAGTCCACAAAACATGGAGCTATGCTTTCTTTCTTTGCGTCCCCCGTCTGAGGAGTCCGTTTTCTTATCGCTTCACTACGTCGTTTTCTCTCAATCTTAGAGTGCACCTGAAACTTCGTTATTCCTTAATACTGACACAGAATTTTAAATTGCAAGTGGGGTTGCAATTTAGATATGTCTGATTACAGCAAATGTGTTATTGTCAATTTGTAGGTGAAAGATTTTATCCTCAATAGATGTAGGTGAAGCAAATGGGTAAAAACACCTGGAGGCAACTGCGTGATAACGAAATTCTCGGCTTGAAATATGCGCTATAACAGCAGGTGTGCAGATTTTGATGGAGGCGTGATAACGAAAATCGCGATAACCAAGTGCGCTATAACCAAGGGATGACTGTAATTACATTTTACATTAATTGTCGACAGGGCCTCCTAGGGAGGTGCAGGACCCATTTGCATTCTTAAGAAAAAACTATGCAACACTTAGAGTCATTAGGAGCAATCTGCAATATCATAATCACTACGGGTATCATCTTATATAGTGAGATATACTGTATATTGCTATCATTAGAGAAAAGTTTTTACTATGTATATATATATATATATATATATATATTGTGAACTGCAATATCATTATGATTGCTGTATTTGAACGGTACAGATTACAGCAGAAGCATCAAACTTCTTGGAGTATATAAGCCACCATCTTTCCTATATTCCCCATTCGACAATCTTCGCATGTTAAATTGTTCTGAAAACTCGATTTTCACTATTTTTTTAAACATAATTTCTTTTAGATACCTTAACGGGAACATTTTTGTACTCAAATATCAATTGTCGAAGTGTCCAGTAAATGTGGTCAGTTGGCTGGATCACATCAACATGCCCGTTAGCGTCGGTAGAACTCCATTTTGAAAGCCTTAGTATTTGTTTCAGTACTGTCCTCTTCCTCCACACGACCCACACGCACCATCACACTCGCTCAGGTCTTTTTCACGAGTTTCTGGAGTTGTGGAAAACAAATTTTTCTAGGGAATCTTTCAATGTCATTTCGATTTCTTCTCTCTGTACTCTCGAGATGTATTTTCTGTACGTGTATGTGTCGTTGTAGGTCATGGTGAGCGAGGGCTGTGTGCGATAGTCAAATAATGTATATTTAACTGATGATATATATATTGCACTGACTTTTATACATGTTAATGATATTGTATGTTTGTATTATTAATTATTATGTACGTATAAAGTATATGAGGATTAGTTGAATTGCATATAAGGGCATAATTGAGAATAAAAATATGATAATTCTATAAATTTAGAAGCCTTAATAGCATTTTTATGTATAATAATTTTTAATATACAACTTATTATCTGTTAATAGAAAAAGAAATCCATTGATTGATATATAGACGGATCATTTGTTTGTAAAAACATTGCTAAAATGCGTAAAAAAATAACAAAATAATTTAAAATTTCGATTAAATTTTCAGTCTAAACAAATTTCAATAATAATAATTTGAGAAATTTTTAATTCATTATAAGTACAAATTACAAAGTTATCTGATGCTGTTAGGTAATTGCGCTGATCTGCGACCCCCGGAAGTTGCTAGAAACGTTTGCTCTGACCACAAGTTAATTCAGATCATTATTATTTCCCCCAATCCCAAATACAAGTTAGATTATGAAACACTGTAACGCCACTGTAGTTAAGTTCTAGTCAAGTAATGGACTTGGATTATGTTTAATATTTTTTTTCACAACACCCGCCCGGCAGTACCTCTACCTCGGTTCACGGCACAACACATTTACAACATAAAAATCACAGTATTCCTTTTTACACCAACAGGCCTCTGGGACCCACCTTCATTTGTTGAAACGTTTCACGACAGTATGAATTAACTTTACCTTATATTTATATTGTCTTTAATATATATATATATATATATATATATATATATATATATATATATATATATATATATATATATATATATATATATATATATTATTTAATCTCTTTGCAACGTCGATGTTGTCTGTTGTGAGTTCTCATCGACCAACAGTTCCTCCGAGTGCTCTGTGTCGGTGTTGTCTAAGCGTGGTTCCTGAAGCTGTTCTTGAGGGTCATCTGTTTCCTGTTGTGACTTTACTGGTGGTTTGGGGGCGGTGACGTGACAGATCCAGCTCACTATGCTCTCAGTATTAATGAACACAGCGGGGAAACCAGGGCGTCCACAGCCTATACTCCAAGAGGACACCCCGGCGATGAACCCGTCGTTGCTGACCAGTGCTCCGCCCCAGTCACCCTGTGGGCAATGGAACAGTTAATTCGGGGACACAACTGTAGAATCCTCTACCATTTGAGTTAGCTTAGTTCGGGTTAGGATAATTTGGGTTTGGTTTAGTTTGGATAGGTTAGGTTAGATTGGGTCAAGTTAGGTTAATTGAAGTTGGTTTTAGTTATATTTGAGTAGAGTTTGGCTGCGTTTGGTTTGGCTAGGTTAGGTGGTAGAGTATGAACACTCGCAAGGCTACACACTTGAACCACACACCTGGCAGGGATCGAGGCCACCGTGTGTGAAGTTGCCAGCACACACCATGGAATCGGTGATGAGATCCTGGTAGGCTTCACAACACTGCTGGCGCGGGATCTTGGGCACGTAGGCCTGTAACACCAGATTAGATATCTCACTCACTTCCGCCGTCCTGCCCCACCCGGAGATGAGGAACAAATCTGGCGAAAAGAAGGGATACTTGTCTGAAGTCTTTGAAAAGCCTTTGTGGTCTAGCGTAGACTTGGAAAAAGGCGCACCTACCCCTATGCTACTTAATTTAACCTAATCTAAGATAACTAAACCTGATTAAACTAATCTAACCTGACTATCGTTGTTTATCTTTACAGCATTAAACCAGTCATATGTAGCCATGACGGAGTTGTACTAACCATCGGCGTGAGAGTGGTGGTAAAAAGGTATGTTTTGTTGGCAGTAACGTGACTTGTTAGGCAGCGGCAAGGGTTGAATCCTGTCGTTGAATTTCACCTTGGAGGACATCTCCACCAGGGCTACGTCGTAGTCATGGGTCAGGTAGTTGTAGTCCGGGTGGAGATGGATACTGTTCACCCCGCACCACCTCTCCCAGCCTTCGAACACCGCCAGGTCGTACTCTCCCGCCACAACCTGACAACGGTCAACTTATGTTACTTAGATCTGTTACTTATGCGTTTGTTACTTATATTACCGATGCCTGTTACATTTGCTTATACTATACTTACTTAATTGATACAATAGTGGAGTAAGGTTCTGCTCCTGTATATTCCAGCTCTTCGTCTTCTCTGACGTTAGTCAAGGTTCGGCCAGCAAGCAAGTCACAACATAGACGAGCTCTGCGCTTTGTAGACTGTTTGCATTCACGCTTAAAATTCTAGCTCTAATACTGGTCAACCCGTAGAGACTCGTGGCCTAAAGTAAAAATTTACAATCAACACTATGACGTTACCTGCAGGGTGTTAAAGGGGTACTGGTATCCCTGAACACAGCCGGCCGAGGTGAGGAGCCAGGTGTGGGTGAGCAGAGTGGCACCGCAGAAGTGGACGGGCTGAAAGTATTGTGTGTCCTGTAGGGATATCAACCACGGCGTCGATCCTGCCATCAGAGATACGAAGAATACATTTTGTTACAGTACAACAAGACATTTACAGGTGTAGAAACAATTACATAGGATCGGATACACGTGCATGCAACAACAAAACATTAGCTACTGATACATATTTAAAAGTAGGTTTAGTAGCATAAACACTATTCAAGAAAAGTATTCATTATGAACCTCCATTACTCTGTACGGGGCCTACATCTCCGGTATGCAACGCAACCCACCAGGAGCTGTTATCTCCAGCTCCTCTTGTCTTCTCTATCAACTATTTCCTTGACGTAAGTGCCATATTTCCCTACATAATAGAGATACTTAATTTCTTGACTCCGTATTTAAGAAACTCTTGGATGTTTTTGAATTTTGACGTACCTGGTTCAGCGACCTCCCCTCCGATGATGCTGTCAGAGTCCTGGTACATCAGGGCTTTGTGGGGGTCTGTGAGGGCAGATCAGGTCTGGTCAAATGTCATCGATTTTATGAAGCAGGTTTTGCTATAGTGAACAATATTCACAAAACTGATGATAAGCCGAGGCGCACAGTGTGAAGCCGCACTCACCACAGCCCATCTTGGGGAGGATACAAGGTGGACGCCTCTCTTGGGTCACACCACACGTCACCCCGCCGATCCCCATCACCGCCCACACCAGTAAAACGTCCACCAACCCTGCTGGCAACATAATTTTTGTTATGTTATATTTTTCATGTTGAAACTCTATAGCAGATAGTTCGTAAAGCTATTTGTAATCTTCCACAAGTGTACTGGTATTACATTGTACCCTACTGTACCTGCTTTCTTAACTGATGTACAGTTTATGAAACGGAAATGTATATCTATTAATTTTAGAGATAAATAATTGTAAATGTTTAGATGAAGGCAAACAAGTTAAATAGGAATACTCGTACCGGTACCCACCTGAGGCTGGCCGCCATCTTGACTTCCACGTCATTATGCTCCAACTTGGTTCTTTACTGCGTCGTGATTCTTTTGAGTCTGGTTGATTGTTGTGATTGTTGTAGATTAAGACTATGATATATGTAATTTTTGTTGATTGCCTTGCCCTCGATTCTTGTGATTGTGGTTATAGTTGGGATCGTGATTGTTGTAATTGTGGTTGATCGTGGTTGATAGTTGGGATCGTGATTGTTGTAATTATGGTTGATCGTGGTTGATAGTTGGGATCGTGATTGTTGTAATTGTGGTTGATTGTTGGAGTCGTGATTGTTGTAATTGTCGTTAGGGTCTTGATGTAATTGTGGTTGACTGTTGTTGCTATAAATGCCCCTCGTCAGCTACTTGTGCTCCTCGTCAGCTACTTGTGCCCCTCGTCAGCTACTTGTGTTCCTCGTCAGCTACTTGTGCTCCTCGTCAGCTACTTGTGCTCCTCGTCAGCTACTTGTGCTCCTCGTCAGCTGCTTGTGCTCCTCGTCAGCTGCTTGTGCCCCTCGTCAGCTACTTGTGCCCCTCGTCAGCTACTTGTGCTTCTTGTCAGCTACTTGTACTCGTTGTCAGCTACTCGTCAGCTCACCACTAGGCTGCCAGTTGGAAAGTTAACACAAGGGTGAATACATCTGTGTATTCATGTATTATAAAGTTAGGTTAGGTTAAGGTTCGGTTAAGGTTAGTTTGCCTTAGGTTAGGTTAGGTTGCTTTAGGTTAGGATAAAGTTAGGTTGCCTTAGGTTATGTTAGGTTAGGTTAAGGTCAGTTTATCTTAGGTTAGATTAGGTTTGGTTAAGGTCAGTTTGCCTTAGGTTAGGTTTGGTTGCCTTAGGTTAGGTTAGGTTTCCTTAGGTTATGTTAGGTTAGGTTAAGGTCAGTTTGCCTTAGGTTAGGTTTGGTTGCCTTAGGTTAGGTTAGGTTGCCTAAGGTTAGGTTAAGGTTAGGTTGCCTTAGGTTAGGTTTGGTTGCCTTAGGTTGGGTTTGGTTTTTTAATTTTCCTACAACGTTTCGGTCTATAGTTAACACCGTTCAAAAGTTAACTATCTGTTATGGCGGAAATTAATCGGGTGAATGTACTCCCTTTTCTTGAACGGATTGTTATATAGATATTTTACCCGCGTTTGGGATCTTTGTTTCAAGTACGGCTTAAGGGAAGGTCGTAAACTATGAGTAATTCTTGATGTTGTTGACTGCGTTATGTATGGTCCAAGCATTAACAATTACTGTACATTGGTCCTTTTACGTTTGCAGAGAGTCTAGATTCATCCTTCTATTTCAACTCGTTTAGGTATTATTAGCGTTTCGGTCATGCAGCGAATTTTAGAATTTTAAGTTTAGGTTATGTTGGAAATATGTTTTTTCCGATGGTTTAGATGTGTTTTCAACGTTTCTGTCTTGCTTCCAAACAGGTGCCTGACCGAAGCGATAATTTTACCCTTGTTTATTTACCTTTACTCTATAATCAGTAACTTTATGTCGACACAATTACGAAATTAAGTACTTGAAGCCTCGTACAGACGGATAAAACACTAATTAACGGCATTTCATGTTGAGATAATCTACCCTCAGCCTTTACCTGACAATGTAAGATGCACCAAGAAACATTGTGAAGTACATTAGAAAATATATATATATACGTGTCACTGAATATATGACAATTGATTAACCGCTTGACCTGCTTATACAAATAGCCTTAGGTAGATAAGTAAATCACAAGTGTATGTCAACTGTGTTTTATTTACATATATTTTCAAGCACACGTCAGCGGGATCAGACAGGCACACGTGTTAATCCTTAGGAAATTCTCGCCGCTTCTTATCTTAATTTTCTCGCTTCTTCAGTTAATCAGTTCTAATAATTTTTCTTAGTTTCACAATCATGGATCAATTAGAGTTATATCTCCTCGTGTACAGCTGTAGAGAACCAAGTGGATCTTACCTTCGTTATTTATTGTGAGAATTTGGCTTCATCCCGTTGACAATTATTGGTGTCTTTCCTCGGTCATTTAGTTAGAATCTCACTTGTTATACACACAGGACAGGTGTACGTGTCATATGGCGTGTGTGAGCAGCCAAGGTGTCCAGTATTACGCAGTCCACACAGATATACACCAACATGGACGTTTTCCCACACGCTGCCCCAACACCTGGTGGCACACTGATAACTCTGCCTCTCTTACCTCCCTTTAAACACCTCTTCCTCTCTCTCGCTCACTGGTGATACCCCAACCCTCCCTCACCCTATATTTGAATAACTCCTCCCCCTCTCTCATCCTCCACCCTCCTTTCTTCACCCCCCTCCTTTCTTCATCCCCCTCCTTTCTTTCCCACCTCCACCCCCCTCCCCTCTCTCTCTCTCTCACTCTCAGGGTATTACCGTCTCACACACACACTACTACTACTACGAGTATGACGATCATCCAGCTATGATACAATGATATGAGTTATTAAGGATGTCACCTAGGTTAGTGAGTTCTGAGGTGACTAAAGAGACCAATATGGGACCCGCAGCGTCGTTCACATTCGTTGCATATGTGGAGGGCTCCATCTACTGCGGGAGGGGTGGTGGCAGCGTTTTTCCGGCGTTGGCTCTTGTCTGTCTCGGTTTGCAGTCGGGCTAACTCGAAAGTATTGACACCTTCTCGTGTGGTGCTCCTCCAAACGTTACGGTGTGGAGTAATCGTCTTCCAGGTGATAGGGGTCGATTTGGCACTTTTTCAGGTTTGTCTTGAGATTATGCTTTCCCTTTTCAATTGCCCGCCGGCGTTACGTTTACTGTTCGTTAGGTGACTGTAAAGTAGCTGCCTTAGAAGTCTACTGTCATCCATGCGGGTAACATGGCCAGTCCACCATAGCTGTTCGTGGATAATGGTAGCCTCTATGCTCCTACAGTTGATGTCAGCAAGAATACTGGCATTTGTTCTCTTCTCTTCCCAGCGAACTCGGAGGATGGAACGTAGACTACGTTGGTGAAAGTTTTCAAGTGCAATGAGGTGCCTCATGTATGTAACCCATGTCTTACTGCCATATAGTAGGGTGGGGAGGTCCACTGCTCGATATACGTGCAGCTTTGTAGATAATTTCCTCTCCCTACAGCTGAAGACACGATTTTGGAGTCTACCAAAGGTTTGAGATGAGCATCTGATCCGATGCTGAATCTCTTCATCGATGTCTGCGGTGGTGAACAGGTGGGAGCTGAGACACCGAAAGTGGGCAACATTAGAGAGGATAGTACCGTTAAGCTGGATGGATGGTGGAGGTGTGGATGAACCAGGGGCAGGCTGAAAGAGAATCTGAGTCTTACGTACATTCACCTCGAGGCCGAAGTGTGCATACGCGTCTGCGTAGGTGTTCAGGATCTCCTGTAGGTCGTGTTCAGTGTGAGCAACAAGGGTGAGGTCGTCTGCGTACTGAAGTTCAGTAATGGAAGCTGCCGACACCCTTGTTCTTGCCTGGAGTCGTCTTATGTTGAAAAGACCCCCCCCCCCTTCACCCGGTAATCGATGTTCACCCCGCTGGCTAAATTGGTACTGGCACGAGTAAGGAAGGCAGCCAAGAAGATGGAAGAGAGAGTTTGTGCCAGTACACGCCCTTGTATAACCCCTGTTTGGATGGGGAAGAACTCTGACTGGGTGCCGTTGTGCAAGACACTGCTGTTCATGACATCGTGTGAGTTGCCTCACAATGGCGATGAATTTTGATGGGCAGCCAAAGCGGCTGAGGGTCTGCCTGAGGGCTTCCCTGTTGACCGAGTCGAAGGCCTTGGTTAGGTCGATGAAAGCCATGTACGCTGTTCTCTGCATTTTTCCTGTATCTGGCGGGCAGCAAAGGTCATGTCAGTGGTGCCACGTGATGGTCTAAAACCACACTGAAATTCTGGTAGGAAGTTTTCTGTCTCAGGAAGAAGTCTGTTTAGGAGGACTCGGGCGGTAGTCTTGCCAGCTACGGAGAGCAGCGAGATTCCATGGTAGTTGCCACAGTCTGACCGGTCTCCCTTGTTCTTATAAATATTGACAATGGAGGCGTCTTTAAGAGCTTAGCGGATTTCCTCGCTTTCCCATACATTCTCCAGGAGCGGTGCGGTGGTTGGTAGGCGCCAGGACGTGTCCACATGCCAGTGGGCCCATGTGCCGTCCCTCTGGGACCCACTGCTACTCCGAGATCCCCTGCTGATCTAGCCTGGGCCCACAAGGCACCCAGTTACCGTGTGTTGCCATGAGGAGGCACAGCAGGAGTCTTGATGGTGAGGAAGCTGTGTATGGCAGGGGAAGACTTCTGCAAGTTGCTTTCCTGTTCGCCACGAGGGCTAGCCAGCGGCGGCAGCTGAAAGCAAGAGGGAGCAAGCAATGTTTGCACCTTAACACTAACATAATGCTGCCACTCCAGATGCATTTCATCACCCTGTGTGTGGCTGCGCGCGCACACACACACACACACACACACACAGCCCAACTAGACAGCATTGCGCCTTTCAGTTATGCAATGAAACTGATAAAAACTTAGTGATTGATAGTGTTTAATGTCGTTTACCGTGATGGTACAGCAGTGAGGCAGCCCGTGTTAACCCCCAGGGGAAGTGGCCGCGTCCAGCTGGAAGTACCGTATATGAAGTCCTTATCCAAACGGTTCCTGAGGTGACAATTTCTCGTGCCTGAAGACGTAATGATGCACCTAACTGATCAACTAAAGATAAAACAAAAATAACGCGTAAGAAAAACATTAGAATTACACTGAGACTAATTATTAAGTAGATTCGTTTTACTGAAACAATAGTTTACGTATAAAATCTTTTTACATCGGGTGAGTGACAGGGGTGTGATTAGCCCTCGGAAACTACAACTTGTCGGTCCCAGTAGACATATTGGAAGCCATCGAAGGCTAAACATACAGTATGTTGTGTTAATAGAAGAACAAATGAAGAAGTAAAATTATAAACGGAAATTACGAGATAACATTTTTTGTTAGTTTTTGAGGGTGGGAAGATGATGTAGAGATATGAATAGTCAAGCTGAAGGGCCAGGGAGAAGCAGAATTTGGGTGGATCAATTAAATCAACAGCTGTGTTTCCAGCAAAAAACATCATTTGGGAGGATTGGTAAACACGTCTCGAAACTAACTGTTGACAGTAATGATGGTAACTGGTCGTAGTAGTGGTAACAGTGGTGGTAGTGGTAACCCCAGCTGACGATTCACAAGATAAACTTCGGATAGGATAAATCAATATATATATCTTTTTTTATCATTTACCGTAAGAGACTATGCGGACATAGTTTTCGGTGTTAAATTCGTGTTAAGAGGTTAGAGTGAGTTACTGGGTCCTTAGTTCTTTCTTGGGGGAAACATTATTCACTGGCGGGCGGGAAGCATGTTATGGCCGGGAAATATTAAGTACAAAGTAAAGGGTGTGTGTGTAATCTCTCTCTCTCTCTCTCTCTCTCTCTCTCTCTCTCTCTCTCTCTCTCTGTCTCTGTAAATACTGCGAATTCAATATAAAATGGACTAAAATAACATGAACGTCAGAAAACTAACCATGAATATTCACATGTTACTTTCATTACTTAAGATAATTATATGTGTACTTGCTAACCCCTTTCTCACTTTATATCAGTGTTTTAGTACCAAATATCACAGGTTTTCTGCTTCCTCTTGTACTAACACTGGACAATGGAGATGGTAACAAGAACAGACCGACCTCCCGAACGGCTTGGCTAATGGTGCTGAAAAATGGTGAAATTATAAACAGAATAAAATAAAAAATAATGTGTTGTTCAATAATAATATACTCGGGTAAAACAATAATAATCCGAGTATGGGAGTGATATTTTTTCCTTCTTTCCTTTACCGACTCAAGCACACGTGTGTTGTGTGCTGGATGTCACGTGATCATGATTCATTGGAGGTAGTTGGTGCTTATCAAGGCAGAGGTGAGATATGTGCTGAGAAACTATTACATAAGGGCGGGTCTTGTGGTTCCCTCAGCAGATGTGTGATAAAGGTTTAGGACTTGTGGTTCCCTCAGCAGATGTGTGATAAAGGTTTAGGACTTGTGGTTCCCTCAGCAGATGTGTGATAAAGGTTTAGGACTTGTGGTTCCCTCAGCAGATGTGTGATAAAGGTTTAGGACTTGTGGTTCCCTCAGCAGATGTGTGATAAAGGTGTAGGACTTGTGGTTCCCCAGTGTATGGGTTCGTGTAGTGAGAGACTCAAAGATAAGCACACAGTCAACACCAAAACATTCTGTCAGCCAAAGATACACTTTAGTTAATCATTAATTACCTGTTTCACTTTTTTTAAACACGTTTTACATCACAAAACAAAATCTTGAATAACAGGATAAAGATTCAGTAAGTTCACATCATTATATCACCCTTTGCTTGTTGTACAGTACCTGATAATTTGGATGTACTGCAATTTTTGGCAAGCTACCATAAAATTATTTTCTCCCTTAAGGTTGTGGTTTGCTACGTGTCTTCTGGAGAGTTTGCTGTTTTGGGGGAGTAATTAATGATAAAAATATCGCTCTGTAATGTATCTAACATCAAGAGCTGGGTGGCAGTTGTGGTGGTAGGAGGGGACGGCACGGTGAGAGTCGAGGCTGATAGACGAGAGATAGGGCGCCTCTCGTGAGAAGTAAAAGAATTGGTCGTGGGATAGTATCGCTGCTACACCTTAAGGCGTTCTGCAATGAGAGTGGAACATTTTGGGGGTTGCATATTCGTATTTTGGGCATGGGGGGGGGGGCATTTTAGGGATGTATGGAAGTATTTTAGGGATGTGAGACCACAATCAGGGTCTGTAGGTCAATTTTGGGCGTGTGTTTGTGTTTAAGCCCATTTAAGGGTGTGTGGGGGCCGTTTTAGGGGTGCGTGGAACCATTTTAGTAGTGTGTCGAACCTTTTTAGGGATTTAACTTTTCAGGAAAGTAAATTTAGAGGGGTAGTTTAGGGGTTTGGCTGTGTAGGGTGTGAGAGGTTACGGATGTTATAGTGCAGGGTGTGACATATTAAATTTGTGGCAGTTTAAAGATCCAGGCACATGGCATCACAGGCAAGATTTTGAAGTGGATTAACAACTGGCTCAAAGACAGGCAACAAAGAGTGGTAATAAATGGAGTACATTCTGAATGGAGAAAGGATCTCAGTGGAGTACCACAAGGCCCTATCCTTGGACCCACCCTGTTTGTGATCTATATAAACGACATAGATG